GAATTTGTACAATAGTGACTGATAAACATCTCCGAAAAATCCGCTTAGAAGAACTACATAAAACTCTCAAGAAAACGAGGCTACCCCACAACACTAATAAACAAAGGTATTGAACTCATGAAAGAAATTCTCTAGACCAACTTAGAAATAAAAGAAACGTAACGTCGAACAAACTCTAGCATATGTCTCAACGTACAACAAAAACAATCCAGAAATATTCCCAGAAATCACAAAAAATCTAGATTTACTTAGCAAGAATAATAAACTGAATAATATACTAAAAACAACCAAAATAATTAAGAGCAAACGCCAATCTAGAAACCTAAAACACATGTTAACCTCATCTAAATTTAGCCAACACAAAATACAGGGAGTCACAAAATGCAACAAAAAAAGATGTGGGGTTTGTGACATCATTATAGAAGGAAACTCCTACACTTTTGAAAACCCAAAAAAAACATTCACAATAAATAAAAAAACTTAAACTGCAACTCCAAAATGTAATTTATGCACTTAAATGCACAAAATGTAAAAAAGTCATATATAGGCATCAGCCAACAACTGAACAACAGGGTCTCCCTACACAAAAAAGCAATATAAAATTGACAGACAACAGAAAAACTTTTTGTATCACAACACATTTTCAAATGTAACTAGGGTAAGTTTAATATCATGCCGATATATCAAACAGACAATTGTAAAATTATATCCAGGAAAAAAAAGCATAATATTTTTTTCTAAATAAATCCACATTAAAAACCAAAAACGTTAGCGGCACCTCTCTTCCATTTAAAATATATATATATATATATATATATATATATATATATATATATATATATATATATATATATATATATATATATATATATGTACATGTTGTATAATATTTTGAGGACAATATGTAAACTGTTTTGTGAAAAAATACATGCTACAAATAACTAAATTTATTGATACATTTTTTTACACAGAGGCATTAATGGTCGTATTACGAGTTTATTCTATGCAATTACCTTCAGTCGGGATGACAGCTTCAATTCGGTACCGTAGCCGTTGACATGAATGCATCACACAGTCAGTGTTGATATTAGACATTACTTGGGTAACGGCAGCTTGCAAGGAATCGTTCCTATTCTGGGATCCTTGAACAGTCTCCTAAACAATATGGCCCCAGTTATAATAGTCAAGAAGATGTAGGTCAGGCGAATTAGATGGCCAAATGTTTTCTGTGGTGTGGTAGTACAGAATGGCCGCAATCTAAACTGGGTCAACACATTTTGGGATGAGATGAAGAGTCATACTGAAACAAATACGGCCTTCTATTGTATACAAAGTCTATCCATATATTCGCAACCATTTCCACTACCTCAGTGAAGATAGGGGCAGACAACCGAACAATTTGTTGAAAGAAGTAGCGTGGCAACACGTACCGTGCATAAACCCTCCGCCCCTAGAAAAATTCGGAGGAAACTTAAAGGGCATAATATAGAGGAGAATAGAATAACCTTCAGATAATAACTTGTAACTTTCCTCCTTTTCTTTCTTCCTTTTTCTTGTTTTGGTCTAAAAAACAAAACAGAGCAGGCCTGATTCTTTTGACTTTCGTTTTTTATTTTTTTTAAAAGTTTCCATAATGTAATTATTTTTCTTTTTTTTAATCAATTCATGCCAAATAAGGCGATAATGCCACTAAGACCCAAGGGGCTACTGGAAGTGAAAGAGAAGGAAAATATTTTAGAACGAAACGGAAGCACAATAATAATATAAAATTCAGATTTTAGGCGGATAATTTAGAAGTATAGAGTTGAAGTAGAATGTAAAAGGGACCGGAAACCCAATTCTAAACAGGAAACAAGGGATAAACCACTACTCCTGTTCAAAAGACCAGCGAGGAGTGTAAACTGAATGATAGGCGAACCTATTTACTCCCACAATATCCAACCAACTTTTCTCCTGATGAAATATCCACTATATATGCAGTTACTTTTCCTCTCATGATCGTCTGCTTTCATTATCGGGAAATGCTCAAATGCAATAAGTTTTTGCAGAATATTATTTTCCATTTTCTAGGAAACTTTATGTGCATAATATGCAGAGCAGTAGAAGAATCTGCAGATAACTACTTATATTTTTTCTCGTTTCCTGTTTGATTTTTTTCTTCTTCTTTTGATCTAAAAAGACACAGAAGAGCAAGGCTAGTTCTTTTGGGTGTTTCGACTTGTTCATTAATCGTTTTGCTGGCAGCGACCTTTGTCCTTGGACTTATGCCGACATGATCTATTCTTTTATCATTACATATAACTTGTAAGGAATGTCCCCATACAGGACACTTCGAATTGCGACCTCGGATACAGGGAGAAATCTTGAATTTGCCCTCACGGACGTTCTAGTATTCGCATCCATAATGTTCTGGACAAGCTTTATTCTAGTATTCTGATACTGTTCAAAATGAATGATTGCTTTTTGAGCTTCGCTACAGGTGACATAACACATCTGGGTGCTTCCAGCTCCTTCCTAATTTTGTGCAAAAACGAAGTGGTTACTTTCAAATAGTTGCTTGCACATTGCGTGTGTCGCAACTGTTACCGTGTCATCCCATGTATTAACTTATGTTTCCGACAATGATGCCCCGAAAATACAAAAGGACATTAATTGATTACCACTATTCTCAAGCACACAATCGCATGATCTTAAACACCTTATGTATCATGTATATATAAATATATTATATCTGTGTGTGAGCGCGTGTGTTTAATCAATTCACCCCAAGAAAAGCGATAATTCCACTAAGATACAAGAGTATACTGGGAATGAATGAGAACGAGAAGGCTTTAGAAGTACCGAAAACAAAACCTAAATAAGGATAAACCTCATCTATATATATATATATATATATATATATATATATATATATATATAAAGAAAAATATATAAATAAAAAAACAAACAAAAATCCTTATATGCAATTATGCTGTATTAATGTTAATATGTCAATTATATAATTGCATATAAGGATTTTTTGTTTGTTTTTCCGTATATATTTTTCTTCAAACTGTCGGATCTATATCCATATATTTGCTTACACACACACACACACACACACACACACACACATATATATATATATATATATATATATACAATAAAAGGTATTTATGACTTTTTTTAGTTATTGTTGCGTTTTACTAACCTTTATATCATTTAATTATTCAGAAAGTAATATAGCAAACAGTCAGCTTACTTAAGAAATAAAGAAGTATGCTGTAAACGTAGCTTTAAAAGCTGAACATAGCGATTTAATAATATCTCGATTTTCAAAAGTCGCCAGATCGTTTGTAAGGAGTTAAAGACAGATGATGGCAACATATCGCAAGTATCAAAGCGTAAAAAGCATTCTAAACGCTCTGATATCTTACTTAGTACACCTTAAAACTATATTTTTTTTATATATATATATATATATATATATATATATATACATGTGTGTGTGACGGGTAAGTTATTTGATGACATATCTTTTTTTTAGTTATTGTTGCATTTTACTAAACATTATATTATTTATTTTTCAGAAAGTAATATACCAAACAGTCAGCTTACTTAAGAAATAAAGAGGCATGCTTTAAATGTGGCTTTAAAGGCTGGGCATAGTTATTTAATGATATCTCGATTTTCAAAAGTCGCCAGATTGTTTGTAAGGAGATAGAGATGATGATTGCAACGTATCACAAGTATCAAAGCGTAAAAAAACATTCTAAACTTCCTGACATCATCAGAACACCTGAATTTATCCAACCAGTTTAGCATGACAATCCGGGTAAATCCATGAGGTCACTTGCGAAATATTTTCATATTTCTGAAGGAACAATCAGAAATGTTGTCTATGAAGACATCAGATATAAGTATGATGTCAGGACGAAAGAGTCATGACGAAAGATCAATTTATGTCAGAAAAAAGAAACGAAAATCGTTTAATCAATAAGGTTCCTAAACAAACTTAAATATCCAGCAAGCATTGATGTGATTTGTTTTTCTGAAACGAGATAAACCTTGACCAAGATCAAAAATTTAACAAAAAAAAAAAAAAATGATGATTATATACAGACCCTTCTGAAGTTCCAACATTTATTCAGACAAAATGTTCTACAACTGTCATGATTTTTTTTTTTGGGGGGGGGTTGTCAGCTGTGAAGGACATGTTATTCTTCATTTCTTTCCAGAAGGCCGTAGAGTTAACTCTGCTGCCCACCTTTATGTCTTGGAAATAGTTGATAAAATCTGAATAGACAGCGTACACAATGGAAGGCATTATGTGTTTCAGCAAGACTCTGCACCATCATACATGACTCACGTAATACAGGAATGGATGGCTGGAAATTTTCATGAACATATAACCCCTAATTCGCCAAATACCAATCCATTCGACTACTATGTGTGGAGCGTTGTTGAGACTGAGGTCAAGGAACACCCCTGGCACGTAACACCAAAGATGCTTTGAAAACTGCCATAGTCAGATTAATGCCCAATATTAACCAGGGTCATTTAATTCGAGCATGTAGACGATTATGATCTCGTACAGAAGCAGTTATTTAAGTTGATGTTGGCTTCTTGAATAAAGTTTTAAGACAGATAATCTATTTATATTCTTATAAAATTTTTCAATAATAAAGTTATTATTTGTTATTATATATCTGTTTTTCTATAAATATATATCTGCCCACAAATAATATACGCATCCTCTGCACACACACGCATACACACACGCACATAATACTTTGGCATGAAGAATTTTTTATATGATCTTTGTTCACTGAATCGTCCAAAAGTTCTAAAAGATCATCTCGCATAATTGGCTCGAAGTAAACTTAAATTGGTTTGAACGATATTTTGAACCAAAGGAGGAATACAGAAAGAAAATCGAGGGAAAAAAGCCTGAAGCTTCGCGAATTTTTAATAATGAATTATGTCGACGAGACTTGAGCTCTACGATTGATGGGGTTGGCATGATCGGGTACTCAGTAAGTATCTCTCGTCTTTTCCCAGAGGTACGCCTACGCGAATTCGATAATTCCTTTCTTCGAGTATTTCCAAACATTCCTCTTCTTATTAGTGAACTTAAAATTTATTTCTATGTCTTAAGTTTAGTTTTATCTGGCATAATTCTAAAGAATTGTAGATGGTGTTACATCAATCTCCTGACTGTAGAGGTTTACTTTAAAAAAGCAACATAAGAAAAATAGACTTTTATCTAATCGCAAATATCAAAAACTAATTACCATAGAAAACTTGACGGTATATTTCCATAATTAGACAGGCATTTTTTTAATGTCATATCTGTCATATTATAATGTCATGTCTATCATTATTCTCCACTGACGCATTTATTATATGTGAATTGCAATGCATTCTTGAGAATCATATTGGAGTGGTTTCCCGTTGCCTTCTCTGCAATATTGAATTAAGAATTTTCTTTCTCTTAGATTCGTTAATAAGCAAGCCTAGAGTGTAAAATATACTCTGGAGTAGAAAAGAAAGTTCCATGCCCTTCTCAATGGAACGGAACAGCCTTACCCGGAATTTGAACTCCGGTGTAGATTCCAATTTTGCGTGTCGGTATATTTTATTCTACAACGTACATCAATTGTGTGAGGTAAAATTTAGCGAGGTTTGTTTGTCCATTAATGACAAATTTCGATCCTAACAGGGTTTGCTATACATTGTTTGACATTAAATAACCTAACAAATTTTGATATGTCGCAAATTCAACAAACCAACCTTTAGTAGGTTACTCGGACTGCATTCTTATTTTTCTTTATTTTTGTTATATTCCGTGTTAATAGGAATATATACTTGAAAAAACATGGTGGATAAAATAAGTAAAGGTTTATTGTAAAAAAAAAACAGTAGAATAAGAATAAAGTTAACAGTTAGGCACAAGGTGGCCGCAAGTCAATCTAGTATTGAGTGCTACTATGGGAAGGTCCATAGTCGCGTAAGTCTGAATCGTACTCAATCGATCCCAGCTAGAAATATTTACCAGCCTCCCCCGAGATAGGATGTGGCACAAAGCCGAATTTAATGTGGTGCAATCCGAGCCCGTAGCCCCGGCCAAAAATTCCTCGTAACCCCACATAAACGGCTTCGGGTCTGTCTAACTCCGCGGACGAGACCCTGCCCTTCGGCAAAGCCTTATCCGGGTTCCTCTCTGTAGTTACTACCTATAGTGTAGTCACTCATGGGGGTGGGGCAGGTTATTCCATTACATTAATTTTATTAAATATCATTTTTACGGCTATTTATTTTGTTATCATCTTCCTAACAGTACACCTGTTTTCTTTCTTTTTGTCCAAATCCCGTGTCATTATATCTCTGTCTCATTCTCAGCTTTCTCTTTCTCTTTTCTAAATTTCCTTCTTTCTTTCTTTTTCTTTCGCACTCTTTCTACTTTTACCATTTTCTTTATTTCAAGCTTTTCCTTCTTGTTATTGCTTCTTATTTTCCATTCTCTTTTTCCTCCCCCGCCTGTTTAATTTGTTTACTCTCCTTTTATCGATATTGCATTCTCTTTGCTCTTTTACATACCTCCTTTCCTACCTTTAACAATAGCATCACTCTATTTCTCATTCTTTCAAACCGTCCGTCTTCGCAATCCATCGTGACGTAACAAACGCACAATGGCTTTAATTAAACGGAGAAATAAAAAAGACTGAGCTCTTGGCTAGTGAAAAGATCATGGCATTCACACCAGTTGAATCACGCTGTTCAATCAACGATGTGCCAGACATCCTCATTTGCGAGGGAAACTGTTGTTAGCGTTATTTGATTGGTCAATGAAAATCGACCAATCCTTTTATAGTTTTACTGGTAGAGGCAAGGACTATTCGAATTTACTTAGTTCTAATGATTTTTATTTGATCTTTATTTAATTTTTTTAATGTTTTCTATTTATTTTTATGCGGCTTAATTAATATTTCTAAAATTTCTGTGCAATTTTGATTTTATATTTTCAGATGAACATTGCAAGAGTTTATATTAATTTTAGTCTCTTTCTTTAACAGTTGCCCCAACACAATACGATGACGATTTCTTCTTCTTCTTCTTCTTCTTCTTTTTCTTTTTCTTCTTCTTCTTCTTCTTCTTCTTCTTCTTCTTCTTTATCATATTTGAATTTGGTCAAATTCTTCTTCCTCTTATTCATTTAACATATTTTCTTAGCGCTTCGTTGAATTCTTCTTTTTCTCCTTCACTTAATATATTATATTTTTCGTTTCCTCGAATACATTTTTTCCTCTTCTTTTCATTCTCCTTCTTCTTCACTTTTTTGCATTTGGTTGAATCCTTCTTCTTCTCCTTCTCCTTTTTCTTCTTCTGCTTCCTCTTCTTTTCCAATTCATATATTACGTTTGAGTTTGGACTAAATCTTCTCCATTTTCTTCTTCTTTTTCTTCTTCTTCACCTAACATATTTTTGCAATTGGTCGAATTCTTCTTCTTCTTCTTCTTCTTCTTATTATTATTCTTCTTATTATTATTATTATTATTATTATTATTCGTTAATATAACAAGAATTATATCCGGCATGTAAGAGGCAACCATTTCTCATTCAACATGTTTATTACTTTAAAATAAAAACTTGTGTGTCTGTCTATATTTCTGAGATGAGGTATTGTGTACATTATTTATATTATTCGGACTATTGTCCTCATCTTTGTCGCCATATTTATCACAACGTTTTGGCCGTTGTACGCTCCGGTCATCTTCAGGTGGTTGGAGTTTCGAACTGAACCCTTTATTTCGCTCACTGGGGTAGACTGTTCTAGTCCCACGTGCCATGTTTGATGGACGTCAGTTGTCAGTTATCTTCTGCTAATTTCCCTCTGAGAGTTCTCCACTGCCTTAACATTGAACTCACACTTTTTGGGTCCTGTCACTGGATCTAATCAACGCCTTTATCCACTGTGCCATGTGTCCTTGAGGATCTGGGTATGAATTTCGGGATATTATAAACCTAAAGTCTATAAAACTAATAAAAACTTGTGTATGTGTTATTATCTACACTACGCTATCTTTCCATGTAGTCACCTTCAAAAGCCATGCTCTTTTCCCACTTCGTATGAGCATAAATACTCTCATCCAATAACGTGACTTCAAGCAACGCTTACAACTCTCCAGTAAGTATATTATCTTTATAGAACAACTTAGCGAAATACTGTTTCTGTAGTCTAAGCAGATTATAATCAAGAGGAAACAACTTGTTACTATATGTTGATAAGGTAAAATATCCCAATTCTATGGTCCGGAATAGCAATTTTTGTCAGATTAACCATTTGTGGAGGTGGAATTATCATGAAGTAGGATGACACCCTTTCTCAACACACTGGTATCTTTTGACGAATAACAACTGGCAATTGGAACAATTTTTTATTGTTCACTGATAATTTTGTATGAATTTCATAAGGAGCAAATATTTTTCAACGCTAAAATAGCTTGTATCAATTTCTTCCCTTATTGTAGAACTTTGAATTTTAATGGTCGGTGATTGCTGAAAATGCTTGATAATATAATCAATAATTGTGTCCTGGGTAATGTGACCATCACCCTCTAAAATGTGCTGAAGAAAATCTACAGTAGTTCCCCTATAACATTTTGGCTCATATATTGGAACTTGAGTTATCTGCTTTAGTACCCATCGAGATGGTACTTTCTATTTTCCAAACTAATTTCCCAGAGTTTTCACAGATAAAGATTCAACGTAATGTTTACTTCGTTGAGAGATGATTAAAAAAAAAACGTTCTGTTAATTATCCACACCAGACCGATACAAACTTCGTATCGTTTCAATTTTTGATACACACAAGTTCACACTGATTTTCTGTTGGATGTTTTTCTTGGCGTGTAAAAATCTTAATCCACCATACAGCTTTGTTTTTTTTTCTATTTCACAGGGGGTGTTGTCATTTTCATAACTTAACCTATACAAAAAAAAAATCAATATTAATGCTGCCCTGGCTGTTGCAAGAAGTTTTGTATAATTTTGACGAACGGGAATGTTTTAGAAGGAACCGGAAAACAAATCCTAAACAAGGCATAAACCTCTACTATATATATATATATATATATATATATATATATATATATATATATATATATATCGCCCGCGCTAAATTAACTGTTAGATCTAATAAAAATAAGCATAAATAAGCAAAAACAAGTACAAATAATCAATACAAATAAATAAATTAAAAACTGCCCACCCGCCAAAATAACAGAATAGACTACGGCAAGCAATTTAAATATTGGACGAATAAATAGCTTTAATTATCTTCCCAGACCAAAACAAACTATTAAATAAGCGACGAGAAGAATAAATAATGCTAAATGAAAATGAAAAACAAGTAAAATGAATTAACCCAAAAAAACAAATAAATAAATAATCAAACCACTCCCCCAAAAATAACCGCCAGAATAGATTACCCACAATGCACCACTTACCCATATATATAAATATTTGAGGAAAACTTCAGCATTCGCGGTCTGACGATTGCGTATAGCATGACACAATCTCTGAGTGTTGACTTCAATGTTCACTTTTATATTTATATTTACATACGCTCTATGTCTGATATTGAGCACTTTATTCCATAAATATAATACACCTTAAGACTATATTTCTTCACATATATATATATATATATATATATATATATATATATATATATATATATATATATATATATGTATGTGTAAAGTTATTTAATGACATATCTTCTTTTAGTTATTGTTGCATTTTACTAAACTTTTATCATTTATTTTTCAGAAAATAATATTGCAAACAGTCAGCTTACACAAGAAATGAAGAGACCTGCTGTAATTGTGGCTTTAAATGCTGAGCATATCGATATATTGATATCTCTATTTGCAAAAGTCACCAGGTCTTTCATCTACAAACTTCGTAAGGAGTTAGACATCGATGATTTCCATTTTCTGATGTCTCTATATTTCTGTTTATTATTTATTTTAATCCTCCTTTAATTCACTCTTTCTGTTCTGTTCATGAAATACCTCCAACATGATATTAATTATAGGTTCATAAAATCCCGAGAGTAATTATGGGTTTGTGCGTATAGCCCATGAATGTCCCCCGTTCGTAGGGTGCAGGGTGAAGTAATAGGTTGGGGAATAAGAGAGGTGAGGTTGTGTTTGTTACATTCAATTAATATAGAAATCTATCATTTCGTCTCTTCTCTGCCACTCTAGCTAATAGTAAATATAATGACAGATTGGGCCCTATAGACTTGGATGGCAAACGTTCTTGGAGAAAGACAACTCTGAATTAAAAAAAATAATCTCACCAATCCTCAATTGGCCAAGCACGATACGGCTGCAGACCTGATGACATGGCCAATCAGGGAATGGTTCGTTCAACTGGAGTCCGAAGGCCCTGGATTTGATTTCTCTTTTCCTTCTTTATTTTCTTCACTATTTTATCCCTCCTATGTTTTCTAGGGTGGATAAGTACTATAACTGGAAGCAGATCGGATAATAGAATCAATGTACCGAGTTCAAACTTTGATCTTATGTGCTTCGTTCACATCGACTTAATATCATTGGAGAAGATATTAATCCATCAATTTCTAGCTATAGATTAAATTGGCTGGAAACCAGTCAAGGAGAAAGAAGCGTTTGAATAAAAACCCTCATAAATAACTGGGTAGTCTGAGATCTTTAGCCTTAGTATTGCATGCGGTATACAAGTACAAATCTGAATTAAAAAAAGAGAGACTTATGGAAAACCGTGTATTCTCCTATTGAATTTCCCACATTATGGGCATTATTATAACCGTGATATAAAACAACCGTACTACACGCAGCTAACGGAATAGCTGAATGGAAAAAGAATGACAAACGAGATTTGTTCTCAGATAGTTTTATAATGCTACGTCGTACACGAAATTATATATATATATATATATATATATATATATATATATATGCTCTTGACCCACACCGAGAAAACTTTAACATATATGCAACAACAAACTGTGTGTAAAAAGTTGAACTTTATTTTAATATTTCCCGAAGGGAAAACTGCAGTTACGGTGGCCTCCCACTGAACTTTTGTGGCCAAGTGACTTTTCCTGTATGACCTACAGCTGTGGGTTAGGGAAGTGCATTACAACTGCCCCTCGTCACTCTATCCCCTGACGTCATTAACCGGTCGGCACGAAAGGGAGATAATTGTCGTTTGTATCCCTAAACTGCGTGGTAATCATATTCGTGATATTTGTTATTTTCATGGTATTCGCAGCACAATTTTTTATTTTCTTCTTTACTTGCTTTATTATGTCCTTCTTTCTATCTTCGTGATTTTGCTAATATCGTTCTCCACATTTTTATTATCGCTTACACCTGATGAAAGCGTTAGTATTCCGACCATGCGAAATGGATTTGAATCTGTAAGCATATTATTCTTATAATTAAATAAAAATATAATAATAATAGTAATAATAATAATGGACATTATAAATAAATTAAAATATAAAATAATAAAAATAATGAAAATTTTAAATGAAATAAAATACAAAAAAAACATAAAAATGTTGTATAAAATAAATACAAATTAAAAATAATGAAAATACTCCCAGCATGCAACAAAAATTGTTCCTGTCAGAAATACGGGCATCTCGCCAGAAGACGTTGCGTTCAATCTCTTCACCACGAATCTTGCTACGGACAACACGTATCCAACCTCTCTCTGTGATATGGTTCGTAATAATGCGGAGTAAGTTCTCCCTTTTATCACATGTACCATAAACTAACTGCAACTTAAAAAATACACACACCAATACACACAGCAAATTTAAATGAATTGTATGAAATTAACACACAATTTACCAGGTTTTTCCTGTTTTCTGAGTACGTTTTATTTCCTGTCAAGTATGCGTTTATCTCCGTGAACACGAAGCTAATTTCTGCTGCAATGATGTGAGTGAATACCCCACAACATTCACCTACAAATCTCAATTTCTCAATGAGCTGACTTCCTGATTATATCAGAGTGGCAAGACGATGCCAGCGTGCGTATCTGTTGGTAAATACCTAAAAGCAACACTACCTATGAGAGAAATTGTGTAAGAGTCGATGATTGTCTTGAAGGCATTCACAAGTTCTCAAGTAATTTATAAATTGAAGCACATTAGCTTTGGTCGGTAATCTCTCTAGGGAGAGTGACTTGAAAAATGCCTCACATCATCGTGACAATTGGAGGGTATGAATATGCCTAAAAATAGCACAAATTTGAGAAATTATTTAAAAAGAAGATACGAGACTTCGCTATCAGCTACATGCGAAAATGGCTTTTTTTATATTCGTCATTCTTTATTTTTTTCATTTCTGCGTATTCTTCAGTTATATTTATCATGTGCTTCTTTTATTCATTATTTATAAACCATTCTTTTATTTCCACATCATTATGTTAAATTCTTATATTCCTTCCTCATATCCTTTCATAAATTTATTATTTATTTGCTTCTTAAATTTTTTCTTTTCTTTATTAATCCTA